GTTGAGGAGGGGGTGAGGGTTCAGGCTTATCTCTGGTGCCAAGTGTTTCTCATTATTTGCATTTTGACTTATTTTTCAGATGGTTTTTAACACTCCAAAGAGCCAGAAACACAAGATATGCTCTCTTTACTCTGTTCCAATTGCTGGCTGGCAGCAAACTGGTGAGATGAACTGTGCATTGTTTCCAGCCCCTTAGGATAGGTACAGACAATCAAGAAGCCCGAGGCTGAATTGAGTCAGTCTTTGCAGGTTAATCTGAGCTGCACAGATTAAACTGAACAGAAATGAGCAGACATTTACCTTTGATTCAGGAAATATAGCCACAAGGCTGCAGAAGCTGGGGGGTGCTAGAGCATGGCTCTCTGGCTGTGTGTTCACTTCCTCTTCCTGCTGCCCCGGAGGCATCTGGGATTTGCAGTCCAGAATTACAGCAGCAGGGCTCTGCAGGGTTGCTTATCACTTCCTCTTCCTGCTTCTGGGTGCCGCTGGGATTTGTAGTCCACAGTAACAGCCAGAAGTAAGTTTGAGTGGGGAAGAGGGTGTTTAAACCCCCTCCCTGGCCCTAGCCGGAGTTTGTTGGTGGGGGCACTTCCCCCTGCAGACTGCACTGCATCCCCAGCTGGGCTCCCCCCTTGTCAGCCAACCCTCACTGCTCCAGAGAGCAGAGGGGAGGAGCTGCAAAGCATGCTGGGATGCTGGGGGACTGTGATTTAACTTAAATCAGGCAGGGGTCTGGGGCAGAAGTTTCATAAACTGGTTTGATTCAAATCAGTTAAGTCTGATACTGCATTCAACCAGGTTTATCTTAAACCAGTTTCAGCAGTTTGAAACTGGTTTATGTGCACTGAGCTTCTGTTGTTACAGGTTTCAATCAGTTTCTGATCACTTAAACTGATCTATGTGTAACTTCTGTCCCTAACCTAATGGCTTTCTGCCATCAGAAAGCTGTGACGTAATCAGTGGGTGCTGAACTCCCGCATTTTTGTTAGGTTCCTAGGGTGTCCGAATGCATATTCCAGACTGCAAAATGAAGCGGACCTCTAAACAATTCAGTTACCTATAATGAGTACGCTCATTCACCTTGTCCCCTCCACATCAACCCTGGTGCATGCCAGTTCATCTTCTGCATGGTACGCTTGAACCTAACGTCAGTGAAGTCTCTGCCTCTTCCTGGCCAGGTCTCAAGACACAGTCCCTAAATCACAGCACTGGCCCTATGATTTCTGTCTGATACAAACAAAATTCACAGGTGTCTTTATGAGCATCTGTGTCAGACTGCAGGCTCCGTTTCAGATACGGGACTCTGTCTCCTCTGTTCCCTGTTCCAGGTTGGACTGGAGCACCCAAGGCTGGTCCCCAGGGCCAACGGGAGAGGCTGACTTTCTATCATGCTCTACAACTCAACCAGAATTACTCTGATTAATACATGGCACCTACCTCAGGGAGCCAGCTTATGAGAAGAGAGATTGCCTAGCAATGAAGTCACCCTATATTGGGCCCTGTTCATCTGTTGGGGCCGTCATTGAACAAGGGAAGTTAAATGATTTGTGTTTTCTTGTGTTTTCTCTCTCAAGCAAAGAGCGCTGGTGTTTTGAGGACACTTGTGCAAAGCCTGCTTTCAGTACCATGCACCCCTGAAGTGTCCAGGTGTTGTCCAGAGTGCCCACACCAGCTGGCATTCTGCAAGAGAGTGGATTTTGTGTGCGGGGCAGTCTGAAGGGTCAGTTCAAGACCCAGGGGATAGCTGGCCCGTGGGTCCCAGCTCTCAGCAGAGGGTGATGGATGGAGGATCTGCACCCTAAGACTGTACCTGGAGACCCCTAGCCAAGGGCAGCATGTGACTTCTGTTCAGAGCACCCTGGGACTAGTGCAGCGATTCTCAATGAGGGCTCTTTGAGATCCTTCCAGTTTTTGAAGACCCCCAGGGTAGGAGCCAGCACCACTTCCCTTGGTAGTTGGCTCCAGCTCCTAGCCGCCTTTGAATGTTGGCATTGTATCTCCTCCTCTCTGAGTGCCCATTCAGAGCTCCTTCATCTTCAGCACCTTTTCCTCTTATACCTGGCAGCTTCATAGGGAGAAGTGGAGGCCCAGGCAGTTTCCTTGCAGGGATTTGTCCTCAGCCACCTCCGCTGCCCTTCCTGCGCCTCTCCCTGGGAGACCCTCTCCTCAACCAGACGCAGCTTTGCTGATGACTCAGATCCAGCACAGCTGACACAATTCCCTCTGCCGCCTGCACCATTCAGCTTGTCTCACCGATGCCTCACCACCTACTCCACCTTACTGTGGCCACAATCCTTGCTGCCCCATTTTCCTTTGCTGCTGACCACATCAGCATCCTGCAGCCCAGTCTGGCTCTCAGTGGGAAGGGGTCTATATCAGGCCAGGTCTGTGTCAAGCCACAGCATATCCCAAGTCCAGCACTGCTCAGCTGTCCTGAAGTCGGTTATACTTATTGATACCCTATCTCTCATCTGAAGTCCAACTTTTTCCTCTTCTGCCCCAAAAAACCTGGCCACCTCTGATCCACATACAATGCACCTCTCCAAGTGATAGTTCTCCCCAGGTCAGCTCTCTGCTTTTCTTTGTGCCCCTCTGCTAGCCCCTTCATTAAGCTGCCTTCACACCTCTGCTCCAGCAACACCAGCCTTGATGCTCCTTTGCAAAAAAAAGGCAGCAGTGGTCAGGTAGGAGAAGGTCACAGCAAATAAGTGGCGGCACAGGCAGTGGCAGCAAAGACGGAGGGGGAAAGGGAAGAGTGTGTGGTGACTTAGACGCATCAGTGTGGTGATGTTAGGCAAGAAGAAGCAACTGTGTTTAGGATCAGAGCTAAGTAGGGGTAGAAGGGACCGTAGGAGGTCATCTAATCCAGCCCCCTGCTCAAGGCAAGGTCAGGTCTGACTACATCATCCCAGCCAAGTGTCTGTCCAACCTGCTCTTGAACATTTCCAGGAATGGAGAGTCCACAGCTTCTCTAGGCAGCCTGTTCTGATGCTTGAGCCCCCTCGTGTTCAGCAAGCTCCTCCTAATCTTCCAAGAGAAGTGGTGCTGGCTCCTACCCTGGGGGTCTTTAAGAGGAGGCTAGATGTACACCTCACCGGGGTCGTTTAACCCCAGTACTCTTTCCTGCCATGGCAGGGGGTCGGACTCGATGATCTGCTCAGGTCCCTTCTGACCCTAGAAACTATGAAACTATAATCTGAATGTCCTCTGCTGCCGCTTGAGGCCATTTCCCTTAGTCCTGTCCCCTACAACCACAGAGAAAACCCCATTTCCACCCTCTTTATAATCACCCTTTGGATACTTGAAGTGCAGTGGCAGCTCAGGCAATAGCCAGGCATGAAATTTTTTGTTGCTGTGGGCACCTGTAACCTCATTTCAAGCCAAAGCAAGGGAGCTATTGATAGAAACCGTGCAAGAAACAGTGGCACATGACCTGCTTTATTGGCCTGGATTAGGTGTGGGATTAGGAGTGTTCAGGTTGGTTTAGGAAGCTTCCTGATTTTTTTTTTTCTTGTTGCAGGTGCACTGCAAGGAGACGAGTTGTGCAGACTCAAAAGCGTCCAGGTTTAAGTCTGAGTCACACAGAAGGCGGAGCAGTGAATTTTGATTAGCGTGTTTTTCTACTGTGTTGAAGGAAGGGTTTGTCGGTACATTAGTGAAAATCACACTGAAAGTCTTTGGGGGAATTCTCAGGGGCAGATAAATATTAATTTTCTAAGTTTTTTAGGGGCTCTGCGGGCCAGTTAGAATGGCCTGATGGGCCGCATCCAGCCCGCGGGCTGCAGTTTGCCCACCCCTGATCTTGATAGATTGCTTTTGGGTAGCGAAAGATTATTTCTTGTTCTTCAGCATATAATTTCCACATAGTTAAATCCCATTAAGCATAGAGTTTAATAACATTATTAAATATAACATATAAATATATACATATTGTAATATATAAATAATATATATATATAATTATGAATAGAGTTTAATAAAGAGAAGCAGCTATATAAAGTTCTGATTACCTGCCACGTGTGCCCTTAGGAGACATTTCATGCCCCAGATCATCTCTACCTTCTATTATGTTCTTCCCATGTCCTTTCTTAAGAAGCAACTTCAGGTTTAAAGCTACAGCACCACTTCCTTCATACACACCAGGGCAAATTGTCCAGCTTGTTACATTGGCACAGCCCTTTAAACATCTACAGGATTGCAGGATTGGTGCAAGAGATGTGGTCTTGAAGTCTCAATGTGTTTCATTGTAAAGGGTGCTTGAACATTTCAGCTTCCTTATTTTAGCAACTGCCAATATTTTAGCCAGCAAATGCTGAAGGATGAAGTGGGGAGGGGAGAGGGATGTAGCGGGCTGTGTTCTGAGCTGCCCCTTTGCATAGGTGCTCTTTAGTGGTCAGGTTGGTAGAAATGGAGCCAGGACTCCTGGGTTTTATTCCCAGCTATCTGGTGGGTGACTGGGGACATGTCTTTTCCAGCCTGATTTCTTTCCGCTGGCTGATCACCAGTGTTTCCTACTGTTCTTTGGTGGGGTGGGGTTGCCCACTAGTTGAGACCCTTAGGGTATCTACCACACTGGGGCTCAATTTACCCTTGTGGCTGCAGAGGACAGGTTGTGGAGACAGTCACCCAAGCGCGTAATGATCTCCCTTTGCTAGGGTTTTGCAAGGATCACCGTTGTTCATAAAGTGCTTGGGAGTCCTTGAATGGTGGTGCACGGTGTGCTGAAATACAGGCCACATGCAAATCGGTGAGTGCTTGTAACTCCACGAGCATCAGAAGCTGCGTGTGTAGGGACCTCAAACCCTTTGAAACACATCCTACACTTTATGCTGGCTCTCATCTCTTAAATACCACGGGGATGCAGGATTTAAGGGACAGTGGCAGTTCTCTTTGTTGCAGACGGCACCTTGCCATGATCCTGAGATTCAAAACCTCCTAATGAACAAGAAAGCTCAGATGGGAAAGCACAACTCAGGGGGACTGGAAAACACAGCACCACATGAAAAGATCAGCACTCATTTATTTATCTGGAAAATATTATATTTAAAAAAAACAATCACAGCAATTTCTCAGTTGATATCCCATATTCAGTGAGTGGTCTGACTTATTCCTTGAGTGGCTGGCTCCTGCCTGTTGCCCTGGTATAAATGCTGAGTAGCTCTGCTGAAGCCGAACAGGTAAGCTTGTCCTAAGAGGCATGAAGGATATAGTCTTCTGGATGTGTAAGCCTGAACACTTTCATAGCTACCTTGCAACAGTGATACCCATGGCAAGGGAAAGTCTGAATAATTCTCTGCTGTCTGGGAACAACAGGGAAGTTGATCAAGGTCTCCAGTGGGATGAGAAAGGGGAGCTTGCTAGAGAGAAATCTTAATATTGCATTTTTTTTTAAATGCAAGGATCTCTTCCAAAAGACCATAACATTATAAAATGTGAGAATCTGCAAAAAGTGCCAGGCAGCATAGATATAAATGAGAGATGGGCCCGGATTAAAATCTCTGCATCTAATGGTAGACTAATGTTGGGGAAACCTAACTCCCAACTCTGCAACTGGATTTGGTCTTTACCATTAACTGAACCCAAATGTCAAGGTCCAAACACTCCCAGGCACTGGGGAAATAAAGAGGTGGCTTTTGGCTTGGGCTCAGGTCCATTTAAGCACTGGCTTATATAAATTCCAGGTGCTTTTCCTTCGGGACATTGTATTTGGCTTTATGCTCCTCAAAGAGCTTGCACAGTTCTCCGATGTACGTCTGGTGTAACTGGTTGACTTCTTCTTGGGAGGGATTGTGCTTCTGCTCCACGTGGATTGGTTTCCCGACTGGAAGACAAACACACACGCATTAGAGCAGCAGTGTGACTAGCCGGTATCGTATCCTGGGTGGTGGCATTGCACAAGCAGTGGCTGGAGGGTCACGATTGCTGGGGGAGACCTCGCCCTTGTATGTGTGCCAAACAGCCATTTAAACACCCATTTTCAGCGGCAAACAAGGAGGTGAGCATTGCCCGAGTAGCAGCCGAGCTGGGGCTGCTACATGGTGTAGGACACCCCTGACCTGGGAGTTGTCCCTCAAAACAGGCGTCATTTGAGAGGCACCTCCTGAACGTAGATAAAACATGTTCCTTGCCATAAAGATCCCACCTATACTGTGGTCATAGCGGTGACTGGTGTGCGGTGTACAGGTGTCGAGTCACCCCAACCGCTATTCTGATGCCACCCCCCCATCTCCGAAACCAGTGTCCATATCTCATGCCCTGATCACTCATTCATCCTTAGCAGACAGCACATCCTAGGTGCCAAAGATGTCCCGATGCTGCTTCCCCCTTTCATCCACTGCCTCAGCCCACGTGGACCAGGGATTCAAGGATGCAGTTTGAGGATGTAGCTGGGTATTGAGATGAAACTGGGAGTAAATGTGGCCTAGTGTATGGCAGACAAGGTCCTTTGGGTAAATGTGAGCTATTCTATTAGACCAATTTTTAGTTGGAAAAAAAATTTTGTAGCAAGCTTTTGGGTTGAAAAGCCCTTTGCCAGGTGAAGGAAGCATCTGCAGTTGGTGTGTGCTCTTCCGAAAGCTTGCAAAGAAAACATTTCCCAACTATTTAGCTGGTCTAATCAAAGATATCAAGTTTACCCAAAGAACCTTGTCTGCCCATGTCCTTAGACCAACACAGCTACAACCTATATGCCTAGCGCATAGGGCATTTTAGGGGATTAGGGTTCACTTCACAGCCCTGCTGTTGGCTTGCTAAATGATTTGGGGCAGGTCTCTGTCCCTGCCTTAGTTTCCCCATCTGCAGAGGGGTGGTATCACTGATTTCCTTTGCAAAGCACTTTAAGATCTACAAAGGGAAAGCACTGTGCAAAAACCAAATAAAGTCAGCATGAAAGGCAAGATGCCAGCAAACCGGTTGGCTTTAGACAGAGGTATGGCTGCGGGGCTCCAGACAAGCTGCCCAGACCGATGCCACTGTCATCAAGACTGGGCACCGCAGGACTGATTTAATTGTTATGAACCAAGAAGAAAAGCCCCGAGTTGTCCCAAAGTCTCCGATCACACCTAGTGCAGAGCTGCAGATGCCTTGTGCCAACAAAGATCCTCCCACCTGCATGATACCTTGGCTTGAATCTTCAAAGCCATTCCCAAGGAGCCCTGAGAGGAAGGCAAGTGCCTGGGCCCAACTGCAAGTGAGGTCCTGATGCCAACCTCTGGCACTTCTGGTGTTGGGCACCTTACATGGAGGCACCTGGTTTTCGGAAAGCGTTGAGCACTTCTCTCTCTGAGAATCAGGCCCATTCCAGGGGGTTGAAGCTGCCCCCAAATCACTGCTCTAGTACCACAATGACTTGGCTCGAGTATACAAACCACTCCACCCCATTCCCCCTTCCCTCCCCAGGAAGGACCCTGCATAGGAGAGGGCACCTCTCTGCGAGCGGGGAAGCCTTGGGGTTATCTGTTGTCATCTCAATTTCTCACTTTCATGGAGTTTGTCAAGCTGCAGTGCGTGTCTGTTGTCTTAGGTTGCTGTTCACCTCTCTAATTAAAGGCCCTGGTAATGTGTCTGAGTGCCTGTAAAACCACTGAGAGGATCCAAACAGCCTGTAAAACAATTAGGAGTAATTGCAGGCTGTCAAACCCAATCAGCTGGGGTCAGCCGTGGCCTTTGCAAACAGTGTCTTAATTAGACTGAGGAATGGCAGGCACAATAGGCTGCACTGGGGGTGAAAACCGGCAAGGGTTTTTGCTTTGACACGCACCACAGCAATTACCTCTGATTAGCCCCAGCCACCTGGGAAAAAGTGTTATCTCCGTTCTTCACAGGTACCTAGGCTGGGGCAATGGGATTGTAGTGCTCTGGGATCCCGGAATAAAAGACTTCGGTGACATAAGTTCATCAGTTTTTCCCCTGGATGGGTCAAAGCTACTGGGTCGTGCCTCCTGGGGCTGTTGTTTTTGGGCAGGAGTGGGAAATTATTTGCACTGGAGGGCCACTTAAGGAGCTTCAGTGCTGGGGAGGGATGCTTTACCCCCAGACCCGGCTTTTTATACCTCCCAGCATGGTGGGAGTGGGAGAGGGGGCAGGCGAGATGCCAATTGATCCTATGTGGCCCTGGCCAGCCTGCACCCACCACCGGGGCACGGGAAGGAGCAGGCAGGCAGGTCTCTAGCTTGTCGTGGGGACATGTGGGGCGCAGATCGTGGCTCTGCACTGGGCTCTGGCCAGGCTACCCTTCTGGCGTGCCCAAGAGCCATGCACGGGGATGGGGAGGGCTGTGCTCCGCACCAGGAGGCCCCTCCGAGTCCGAGGGCAGTGGGACCAGCGGCACATGCCATGGCTCAGGCTGCCCCCTGCCCGGAGGGGCCAAGGGACCCACCACGGGCTGGACATAATCACTCGGCAGGCCGGATTCGGCCCATGGGCTGTATTTTGCCCACCCCTGTTTTAGACTGCCTGCAGACTCATGCAGGCAGCAGCTACACCTGGGTCGTATAGTCAAGCTTGTTTTGTAATTTCTTTCACAACAGGGCACTGATTTCATCACTTTGCCCCCTGGGTGGTGCCTTTGCCACTCTGCCTATGACTGACTTCAGCTGTTGAATTCAGCTTGTCCTGGCTGGCAGCAAATTGCCAATGCCAAGCGTGGCCTACGAGGGAGCTGCTGGAGCAAGGCTGTCGCTAAAGGCACAATTCAGCCCCAGGCGGCACTGCGTCTGGTAATAGGTTCTGACATACCCGCGATGAGGATGGACTTACCCACAGTGAAGATGGGCCTCCGGTAAGGGATCAGGCCGAAGCTGTACTGGAATATACCCCGGGCATGGAAGAGCGGGAGAGAGATGCCCATGACTTTTTGAAGACGGTGCTGCATGTTCCTCAGCCAGGAGCCCTTGGGGTTGTCGACTTGGTCGAAGAGCTCATTTTCACCAAACGAAAATGCCGGGATGAGCGAAACTCTGCCGAGGGAGGATGGGGAAACGGGGTCACTCACCCAGCAGAGTGAGGCTTAGATTCCCAGAGGAAATCACGAGGGATGCGGATGTCTTTCGGTTCATTGGCAAAAGCCTGCTATCTGGGTCCCGCCCTGCCCTTGGACAGGAGATAAAGTGGAGGCTGGTGGCCACGTTGACAGGGCAGACACAGAGGCATCCTGGGATGATAAGTCCGCAGGCAGGAGTCAGTCCTTCTCCCTGTTTAGCAAAGGAGGTTTAACCTGGCCCAGAGCAATCCCTGTCACTCCTTGCTGTGGCTATCTGGGGAGAGGACCACTTTGTGGACACCAGGCCAACCTGAAGCAAAAGCAATGGGCTTTGATTTTTTTCATGCCTGAGCTACTGCACCCAATGGAGAGACACCCCTGACCTCAGTGGGCTTTGGAGTTGGTTCTTTGAGGTACCAGCCTCCATGGGAATCACGGTACCCTTGGGCCAGCTCTTCATTGCCCTCCTGCTGTGGACGTGGCAGGGAATTAGCCCTGTGGACAGACGTCCTTCCCTCCCGGGGCCATGGAAGCAGAAGGAGAGGCTCTGCAGAACTAAAGCGCCCCAACATTCGTCCACAAACCCTCTCCGTGGTGCGCGGGTGAGCAGACCGGCATCGCTCTCTGCATTACCCATGCTCAATGGCCAGACGAACAAATCCCTTTCTGTTTTTCAGCAGCAGCGTAAAGGCTCCAGGTCGTGCGTCCAGGGCCTCTTGCGCACCTCCCACAGCAATGACCAGTATGTTCCCTCCTCCTGGTTTCCTCAGCACAGAGGAAGCGCTCTCCTTGTCTGATGCGATTAAGCCTATGTGGGCACACAACAAGAAAAGACATTTAACACTCAACCCCTCAGTGATTGTAGGCAAGCCACTAAATCATTACTACTCACCTAGACCAACACAGCCAACCACCTCTAGACCAACGCAGCCAACCACCTCTAGACTAGCACAGCTAACCACCTCTAGACCAACACAACCTACCATCTCTAAACTAGCACAGCCAACCACCTCTAGACCAACGCAACCTACCGCCTCTAGACTAGCACAGCTAACCACCTCTCTCTACTTGTGTTTGTCTAGATCCCCTCCATGTGCCTGAAGGTTACTTCCTCCTGCTCCACGTTTCTACACCACCAGAATTTATCCAACCTTGTCCAGCCCTAAATGAGCCAGCCCCTTTAAGGGAATTTGCACTCAGCCTCGTTAGAATTGGGCAAATCATTAACTTTTTGGTTCAGTGGCTGAACCAAAACATTTAGTTTAAAATCAACTCTCCAAGAAAATGTTATCATTTCCTTGCCCAATGACCTCTTCCCTGGACCCTGGCAAAAAAAAAAAATCCTTTTCAGTTTGAAGGAAACATTTTGTTTTGATTCTAAAGATTTTCTGTTTTTAAGATTAAATTTATTCAGATTTGCACTCAAAGCAGCAGCTCAAAGCAAAAACAAACCAAAAAACCACAGGGTATCATTCCGAAAATGGCAACACCTTTGTGAATTTTTTTTGAGCTCTTGTCTAGGTTTCTGTTTGCTGAAACCCTGAGGATTTGTGCTGAATTTGGCGACTAGTTTTGCTCTGCCTGAGCCTGCATTTTTCAGTGAATAAGCTCTTCATCCCAAACTGCTGTTCTGCTCCAAGGCTCACCCTGTGACAGTGACTTAAAATGAAGGGCACATCAAAAACACACACAGCAGAGACTTAAAATTCAGTGGGATCCTTTTTTTTATTTTTATTTTTTGCATCAATAACTCTTCTAAACACAGCGGGCGTGTCTACACAAGATACTAGAAATGCACTAGGCTAATTCTCCTGCGCATTTGCACACCATGGCGAAAGCCGTGCTAATACTCAGTGAAATTAGTCTACTATGCATTCGCATCACGTAAAAAAGATGTGCGGGCACAACTGCGCAATTGCTCCTATTACAACATGTTTAGTACCTGCTATTACAGGTGCTAAACTTGAGGCGCTGTAATTATGGTGCATTAATGCACGTGTAGACATGCCCAGTGTCATGACTATTGCTGATCCAAATAATTTTTTCACAGGAGATGCATGGGGCACTGCTTTTGTGTGGGATGTGGGGAAATTGGGAACTGAAATGAGTGATGTCTCTGTCTACTGAATGTGGATAAGACATGTTTCTTGCTGTGAAGATCCCACCTAGACTGGAATCACTGCTGTGAGTGCTGTGTGGTGTAGACAAACAGCATAGCCACGCAGGCAGCATAGCCATGGCAGCCAGGAGCGGAGGGTTTAGTGTCTCCCTGAGGAAATGGGATATCAGGAAGGATTTGAGAATGGGGAAAGTGTTTGGCCGTCATGGTCAAGGAGGCTGCTCTAAAAGCACAGGCATCACGGAGAAGGGCGCACTGGTCCTCTGATGATTCATACCTTGAAGAACAGGCAACAGCAGCCAACAGCACACGCTAAAGAGGCCGTGCTCAGATAGCGTTGGGGCTGTTGTGGCCTCCTGAACCACAGCTGAATTTCTCCCCCATATATTTCCTTGCTTCATAACCTGGCTGCTTCTCCTGCCAGCTCATTCGGCTGGGCCCTGGATGGTGTCGGGTGCGCTGCAGAGGCCTCTGCCCCAGGCCTGCAAGAACGCAGCTGCAAGCTGATGGATGGGAATTGGAGCAGCACTTGGGAACGAAAAGCCCACTCTCAGAGAAAGCCTTCAGTGGAGCATTAAGCATGCGAATAATGCAGCGTGATCACAGAGGCCTGGTCCTCCACACCCACTGAACAGGCTGTCCTAGTGGGGGCTATCATAAAGTTTGGACAAACCCTTGGAGGAATCGTATTATAACCCAAACTATGGCTGCATGTGTCTCCATCTCCCTCATGCCACAAACACCACCGCTGACCTCCACGAGACCACCTGCGTGCTCAGAGTAAAGCAATGTTTAAGTCGGGTTTTTTAACCCTGTTGACCCCAGGCACCCTTCATTAGGCTGAGGGCCCCTCACAAATGCCAGCTCTTGGTTTTCCTCTGGTTTTTTTGACTGCAGAAAAATAACAGAGCAATTCTTCCTTTGCAAAGAGCTTAGAAAGCCCACGGCAGGGCAGAACGGCTTAAATACTATGGATTCCTATTTGAGAGTGCTGGGCTGATCTTGCAAATCACGTTTGCACAAGTAACTGTGCTAACATTGTGCAGCACCCTTGAAAGGATATCAAGGCGCCCCAGGGTGCCCTGGCACTTCATCTGAGAATCACTGGCTGCAGTGTTTTGCTGCATTAGGGCCTAAAAGACTCCTGGGTTGCTGGTGATGAATAAGCAGGAATGGGGGCATCATGTTTGAGGAAGAAAGGACTGAGACAGGGCCGAGACCAGTTGCTACACTTGGCTGGTGGTGTGAAGGGAGCTCTCTTACTGAAGTAGAAGAGAGATTGGTCATTGACTTCAACGAGAGCCGCATCCAGCTGCAAGTGATTTCACGGAACGGCAAGTGCTGCCTTGACCTACTCTGTACTTGTGCCTGACCTGGTGTACCCTCAGCATCTGTCTCCTGCATCTCGTTAAAAGATGGAGATTTGGCAGTGGTAAGGCCCCGGGGTGGGAGTCAGGGGGCCTGCATCCTAGTCTCGTCTCTGCCACTGGTTCACAATGCACCTTGGTCAAGTTCTTAAGCCTAATGAACAAACCTAAGGTAGTTAAGTGCCTGAGGCTCCTTAAATGTGAATGGGAACAGGGGGCATTTATACACGTACGTTTTCATATACACACACATTTACATTTTCAGATAGATTAATCAAGTATGCTCTTCATGCCAGCTGGTGCGCCTGGCACTGCATCACTTGCGGTTGTATAAGTGGCAAAATGCGCGTCAGCACAGAGAAAATGGGCGCAGTGCACTTTTGAACTAAAAATCACCTTCTCTGTGTTTTAGTTCAAAAGAGCACTGCTGCCATTTTCTGTGTAAAAAAATGGGCACTTATATGTGCAAAAATGTCCATGCCCAACTCCCACAGTTCCCCTGGAGAATGTCACCTATCCGCCCTCCGTCTCCATTTCCCCAGAGTTAATATTTTTCCATTGCTTGCTCCCTATCCAGCATCCAGAATATTATTTTCATCCATGAGATCAGTGTATTGGCCACTGCCTCTCTAGCAGGATGACTTGCAATTTGCATCCTGTGTCCCTGGCAGCAGTTAGCTGCCGCAGCAGCGTTGTAAGGGGAGACACTTTTCTTCTCCTTTCATAGCAACAGCAAGTTCTAACTTGCCTGTTATTTAGACATGAAAGAATTAAATCCTCCATCTAGTATGTGGGAGATTTAGTTGTTCCTCTGAGATCAAACTTGATTCTCTGCTTTGAAAATGCAATAGGTGCTGTTTATGCGTATTGGTGATAAAATAAAGACTTCTTTTACTGTTGCACACTGGGGAAGGAAGGAGGATCCTGCAGCTGAAGTATTCAAATGCACCCTCCCCCCCCCCGAGATCTGGGTTCAAATCTCACCTCTGCCACAGATTTCCTGTGTGACCTTTGGCAAGTCACTTAAACTGCTAGTTTCTCATCTTGCGTCTGAAAGCTCCCTCTTAGATTATGATGTCCAGTAGAAGGGGAGCACTTCAAAGCAGAGCTATGTATTTGTACAGTGCCCAGCACAAGGAGGCTCTGATCTCAACTGAAGTCTCCTGACACTAAGAGTAATCTAAATAATGATGAAAAACTGTTAAATGAGGAAAGGGGGGAAGTGTTAAGAAGACAGAGTGGAGACAGAAGGGCTCTGCATTCAAGATCAAGACGCTTCGATTTTTATGTCACCTCTACTCCCTGGCTGCGCATCTGCTTATGCTCAGGGCAGGATCCAGAGGGGATCTATCCCCCTTTCAGTTGATGATGCCCCAGAGGCAGCAGCCAATGACTTTTCAAAGTCCCTGAATCAGGTAAAAATCCAGCCCCGCTTCCCCTCTGTGCTCAGCAGCACTTCCTCTCCCTGTCCCTCCCCTTCCCCTGCCCACCACTGTTTCCAGCTACCTCCAGAGCTGCTCCTGCTTGTTGCGTCCAGGTCTGTGGGGAGCTAGGGACAGCAGCAGCAGTGGGTGGGTTTCCCCTCCGTGTCCACTCCCTTCCAGCCTGGGAACTGGTGTCGGGGAAGGAAACCCATCCCCAGCCACTGCTGCTGTCTCCAGCAGAGCCTGGCTCTCCAAGCAGCCCCGCTGAATCAGGGCAGGAGTGGCTCTGGAGCCTCCTCCACTGCTCCCAGGTCAGCTGGAGACAGCAGCAGGTGGGGGAGTGGGGAGGAAAGGCCATGTGCAGCTAAGCATGGAGGGGAAGATGCGGGGGGAGAGTCATACCTGCTTGACGGACTTAAAAAAAGACCCTGGCTGTTGCTTCTGCACCGCGGTCTGCCTGCCCCGGGGTGGGGGGAGGCTGGGAGCAGGGTCACCCCCCCTTTACCAAACCCTGGATCCACCCCTGCGGTACAGTAAAGAACATCTGACAGCAAGCAGTCGACGTGCGACTGTCAAAGCTTCGAGCTTTTCACTCCCCACTCCCAAAAAGCGTAGGTCCCCTTTGCTATAGTCACAGCCAGCTGCAGGCGTTCTAGCTGCAGCGGCACTCCAGGTCTTAGTCCTGCCGTGTGCCACCCTACTTACCTCCACTCATCAGGTAATCCCTGAAGAAGGGGACTCTGAACCAGACGGTCAGCATCATCAGGTGAGAAGTGAGTCCTGGGAACAGCTTCGAAAACCCAGTTGCCTCTGTGCAGAAATTCAGGAAGGCGCCGGCCACCAGGACACCGTGGGGATGGAAGCCAACCAAGTAGTTCTTCCTAGGGTCCAGATCCGCTGTTTTCACCAGCTAGAGGCACAGTTAACAATGGGAAGATATAACATGCCTGCGGTGGGGGTTTGTCATGCAGTCAAGCTGCTACTGGAGTGAGGAGGCTGCCCGCGTGGTTCTCATATGGGTGATCTGCCTGGGGCAGCCGGACATGTGGCCTCCAGATTTGAGCAGGAGAACCTAGAGGTAAAAGCATTGCCTACCCCTTCCCCGCACTCTCGCTTAGCTCCCGCTTAGGGAGCACCTGACTGCAGAGCCTGTCTAGAGCTGTAGAGCGGGGCAAAATTCATTAGGCAAATCCATCACTCAAAGACATCCCTGAAGGAATTTCAGGCAATACTAGCTTCCTTGAACAGTCTGGGTTTGGGGGCTTTGCTAGTTGCTTCTGGGCTTTGCTGTTTACGACATGGGGCCAGGAAGGATTTTTTTTCCCCCTCTTGTTGCTACAGGGGCTAGGGTTTTTTTTTTTTCAAATTCTTCATTAGCTCTAGGTGTTAGCTGCAGCCGATATTCCTGCTAGGACTCAAAAACCTGGAGGTTCCTGGTGAGAGGGTCTTACCCCTCCACTCAGGGTCAGACTGACCGCATGTGGGATTGCGAGGGAACGGTACCCCCGGTCAGATCAGCATGGGTTTCTCGAGTGTACTGCATTTCCTTGAATATAAGATAACCCTGATTATAAGACAACCTCCCAATAATTAGATTCTATATATGGAAAATGTATACATTTGATAAAAATGTTCAGGTATAGAATCGAATTACTGGAGGTTTGCCTTGAATTTTTCCCCTCCCACTGCTACAGCAAGGAAAATAAATCTGGGGGGGTCAAGTAGTCCATTTGACCTCTGCCCCTCAACCTCTTCCCCCTGTAGCCACTCCCCTCATCCTTACTGTCAGACCCTGCTCTCCCTGAGCACATGGAAGTGAAAAACTACTTCAAAAAAACTGACCTTGAAATAAACATAGCTGTAGAAATTTGCATATAGTACCCATAGATTTAGTTTAACCAAGATTGATGCGTTCTACTATTTTTAAAACTGCTGTAAGTATTAGCACAGGTACTCCATAAACACACGTTTGAGCAGCAGTTTGGCACTTACTTATATTGAACACACACTATGCATGACATTAATCTAAAGCCAAAACACTCATGATTTACCACATGGTAAATTGAGCTGGGACCCAGCAGAGCCAACAGAGTTTCAAGCCATGGTGACCCCACAGCTCAGCACTCCTCAGTATGTGGGTGTACTGCAGATACCCCCTCACAAAGGGTCCATGTGCTAATTGGCCCCCTCTCATGAACGGCATTGGGTGTTCTTGTCGTGAGTCCTGGGATCCTCCAACAATTGATATGCAGGTGAGGCACAGGGCAACATGGTCTGGCTTCACCTCATGGAGTGTGGGGCCACACTATATGCAACAGGCTGAGAGAGGGGTCAACAGAGGGATTCTGGGTGAACTCTTTGGGTCCCTGTTAGGCGATGTTTGCATTTAAGGCTGGTGAAGAAACAGGAGGATCATTGGAAATAGGAGAGAAAGGTACATTTCAGCTGTGGGAATGAATGAAAAGGAAATTGAAATGTATGCAATATAGTGGCTCACCATGACTTCAAAAAGAGTCAGCACTAAGGGGGACTGCTCTCAATGAGCACTACCATATATTTTATTCAGATAGATTGTACTAGCCTATTCTTACACTTGACCAAGCAGCAAGATACCCTGATGGTCCGCTTTGACCAGTTTATCTCCTGCTTCAGGAATACTCTGTGGAAAGCTAGGAGCCTGATCATAAAACAGATACGTGAACCCCTTAGTCAAGGGCTGTGTCAAAATGTGACTGAGTGAGATGTACTAGAACTACAGGAAGACAGTAGAAGATGATGGAGAAGAGATAGCAAACATTATATGGAAGATAGGGGACTGGCATAGACCGTTCAGACTTGGGTACACTGAGGTGAGCAACAATGATGATAAAGATGATAATGATGAAAATGATTACAAGTATAATGATGATAACAAGTATAATGACACATGAAAGGCCTGAGGAAAGTGGTGGGGGAGTTGGGAGGAGGGCACTGAGGCAGTTCTTTGCATAATTGTGATGGGTAAAAGTGATGGTGATGGTCATGCAAGGGTGCAGGTACATGGCTGTGCAGTGCAGTTATAATGGGAATGAAAATGGTGTAATTGTAAAGGTGTGTTTTGGACTAGCAAATCACAAGGCAGGTTGGTAGAGGTGTAGGTATTACATAAAATAAATAATATATATGTTAAATATATATAATGTATATTTAATATGTATTGTGTGTACACACACACACACACACACACATATATTTTGCAAAAAAAAGCAGCAAGTTTGCCCCATTTGAGCCACGTGTTTTATAGTCATGTTTAGTGTTGGCAGCATTTAAGCAACTTCATACAGTAGTTAGCTTCCATTACTGAGCACATGCTGCTTTTAGCAGCAACTCAACGATAGGCAACATATCATATTTAAGGAGGTTTCCTTGTATGTGAATGTAAGCCAAAGGGGTTTTGCCCCATGCTGACATGGGGAGTGGGGGGACCTCATCCTGTATTTGAGTAAATATGGTATTTTAACAACAATTTCCTGTCCTTGCAGCAGCAGGCCACTGACAGTGGCCTCATCCCCTTGCTTTACCTGCGGCAGCTTAAGGTGCTCTTAAGCGTTTTGGGATATCAGGTGTTGAATAACAAGGTCGTTTGTATCAGTTTAGGAACAGGTGAGACAAGCACTTGTCTTAGATGGTTTAGATAGGGCTGATCCTGCCTTGAGCAAGAGGCTGGACAAGTTGACTTCCCAAGGTCCCTCTGAGCCCTACTGTCCTATGATTCTGTGTCACTGGCTGTCGAAACTGGTGCGCTGGCCTACCCATGTTAGCCTGATGAGCTGTCAGGCGCAGGCAAATGTTACATTTCCATCTGTTTTAAAGCCCTCTCTCACTTCCCCTCTTGATGGGCCTTGTGCATAAGAGAGTATCAGGTCTAACTGTGAACCCCTGCTGCCTCTGACCACTCTGATCCTTGGTGCTAATGCAGGGGCAGCTGATTAATTTGTTGGTTTTCCTAGAAAGGATCGGTGACAGCGGCAGGTCCGTCACGAGTTTTTTTAATACTCGCAGCTTATTTTCCATTTGTCATGAAATGCTATTGACAGTACACATGTGCCCGTTCATGCCCCCTCTCCTAATGAGGAGACCTCGATGAACCCAAGGCCCCTCAGTGCATCGGAGCACAGGTGGTTAGCAAGAAAATGGACTGGACGGGTGACTTAAGTGGTCAGGAGCATTTCCATGATTCATTCCATCTTGAGCAATCTTGTTTTACATCAGCATTTCCTAACTATAAGGTCCATTTGCATAAGACCTTTCAGCCTTGTATGATTTATAAATGGACAAGCAAACAAGATGGAAGAACCATTTAGGTATCACTGAAACGAAGTCAACTCTTCAGGGATACTCAGAGGCTGTTGAATGGGTTTGACAATGCTACGGGGCGGTTTAGGGCAGGAAGTGAAGAATATCATTTTCAGCTGAATCAGAAAAGGACTTGTAAGGAAGTAGGCAGCGGCTAACAAAGGCACGTTTGTCCAGTGATTAAAACACGGGGCTGAGAGATCTGGGTTCCTAAACTGGTTCTGCTGCAGCTCAAGGCCTGGTTTTCAGAAGACTCAGTGTTTTGGGTGCCCATGGCCATGTCTACACGTGTGCTTTAATGCATATTAGCTTATTTTAAACCGTCACAAAAAAACATACAATCTCACTAATGCACATTAAAATAGGCGAGTGCACTTTTTTTCTAGTACCTCACAATGGAGGTACTAAATTTAATGCATGTTAGCAACAGCGCATTAATGAACAGGTAACATGCACCCCATAAGTGTTACACAGGCTTATACTGGTTGTAAGTCTCTTTGAAAATATGTTCCATATTGAAAACTTGGCTCCACTAATGGATGGTGAGCACTTAGAAAGCTGGTTGTGTGTGACCTCAGTCACCCCTCCTGTACATGGGGAAAATATCACGAACCCCCCTGCTCTTGGGCTTTCAGTATTAGCCCTGGGAATTTTGCAATGTAGGCCCCTCACTTTTAATTCTTACAGAAGAGGGGATAGTAAGACACAGGCCACAGTTCCTAGGACTCCTTACTCCTGCCGGAAGATGGGAAGGGGAGTTGGCTGTCCAAGGTGTCGGACAGGCTAGGACCAGAATGACAGGGCTGAAACAGGAACACCTAGGAGAGGACATGAAACAAGCCCATGGTACAGGACAGTCTAAGATAGTCAAGATACAGACTGAATGCAGTGCATCATTTGTTCTGATCATTATACAACAGGAAGGTTGGAAAGTATGGGAGCTTTGCAGTGGCCTAGGGTGCGTGGTGTTGTGCCAACTTCCTTGTCACCGGTACAACTGCCTTAACTCCTGGCCTGAAGTACTAGTTAGGCCAAAGCGTGTTAGTGCTGTGCTTGCAGACGATACACCTGGCTGAATCTTTGTCACTGAACTGAGCCTGGGGTTGATCTTTAAGCCGAGATTAGTGTTGGGATCTCCTGGCTGTGACTGTCCACACCGCGGTTCCTGAGACTTCAACCCTGGCAACATATCGATAACACCCAATGAGGACAATAGCAATTACACCAATAACACTTGACAACTCTTCAGCATCAGTGACAGCACCCCACGGACAAAACCAAGCTCTCCTCCCCTCGTTCCGCATTGTGAGCAAGAGCAAGCAACCGTTGTCCTCCCTTGGGCATGAGCAGAGCAGCATGTGGCTGCATCTTCCATGCAGCCTCTCCTAGCATGGGAGGCCTCAAATGTTGCCTTGTGTAAAATGGGAAACTTGGGGTCTGCTGCTCACAACACCAGTCGGGACCACAGCCATCGTAGCAGCTTAGCACCTCAACTCAGGGGTCAACACTCTTTCAGTTGGATTCAGTTCCCCTTCCCACACTTGGATCTAGGACTTTGCTCTTTGTCTAAGGCCC